AGGTGTACAATGCACGGTACCGCGTCTTGGCGAAGCTGGGTTGGGGGCACTTCTCCACAGTCTGGCTCTGCGAGGATGCGCGCGAGAGGCGCTTCGTGGCCATGAAAGTCCAGAAGAGCGCCCCGAATTACGTGGACGCCGCTTACGACGAGATCGAGCTGCTGTCGCAGTCTGCGAACCCGGAGGGCGGTGCGCGCCAAGCCTGGGAGCAGGAGCAGACCCAAGACACTTGGGGCCCCGTCGAAGCGATCCCGATTTTCGATCCTGCTTTCTCTCTTGGTTTCTGGGCGGGTGGGAAGAGAAAGGAGAAGCTGGGAGGTGGGAGTTGCGAGACGGGGCGTGTGTGGTCAGGAACTTTTGGACGGCGTGTCGCGCCGCCGGTTCTCTTCCACGACGCTACGGCGCGACACGCTATTTTACTTCGCGGTCCCCAGGCGTCAAAGTTTCGACCCGAGCCTCCCGCCCCGCGGAGCGAAGCGACACGCTGTCGGCTCGCATGGCATGTGGGGAGGGAGGGAGGGCAAGGATGGGGAGGATATGAACGTGAGGAGTTGCACGTTAGCGAAGACACGAAGCAGACGGACGAAGACCGGAGGATGGGTTGAGGACGGCAGTGGTGGTGGTGCTTTTCCTGATGGCTCGCGGCCCCGAGGAGCAGCTGAGCAGCCTGGCGGACCTCCTTCCCTGCGCATCCGCCGTCAGCGGCGTGGCGACCGGCACAGCGAACGCTCTGCCGAGGAGGATGAAGGAAGGGGGGCAAGGTGAGGTAAGGGTGCGGCCAGACAGGGAAGGGCCTTGGGGGCCTGGCCGGAGAGCGCTCCCCCGACGGGTTTCCAGCGGCAACCTCGTCAGTCCTTCTTGCAGCAAGGCTGCCGTGCTCGTTGGGCCGCTGTCAGAAGGCGTCGGCAAATCATGGCTCCGTAAGAGAGAGAGAGAGAGAGAGTGAGAGAGATAGAGAGAGAGAGAGAGAGAGAAAAAAAACAAGAGAGACGGAAAGGGACAGAAAGAGAGAAAGAGAGAAAGATAGAAAAAGAGAGAGAGAAGCTCGACCCAGGAGGCTGGTGGTATGAGCTCGAAGGGGGACAAGGGCACACCCAAGGTGCATCAACGATGCTGCGCTGCCCCCCCCGCCCCAAGATCCCTCCCTATAGGTACCTGCAGTAACTAATTCTTTTCATGGGGGCAAGTGGCCCCTCGATCGACAAGCGCTCCATGGGCCTGCAGCGCGTGCGAGAGCCCCGTTTGGAAAAGGAGCCGCCTTCCATATTCTAGTTTGAGAGCGTGCGAGCATGTGGGATGATGAAGCTCAAGGACGTGTCAAGTGGGGTCCGGCTTTGACCGCCCTCCATCCGGGCATCGGCGCTGCACTAGGTTCAGTCTGGCCATCATATCCGAGGAAGTCTCAAGCAAGAGACTCAGTTTGAAAAGTTTCCACTTCCCCAAATGGGAGGAGGTGGCCTGGAGATTTTACCGGAAGTTATCCTCCCACCCTGAGTTTCGGAGGCGGCCAAGATGGATACCATGGCCAGGGCCATGGGACCTCTCCAGATTTCATGGCCCTCCTTCTTCCTTCCATAGGTCCCTTGATCCCCCCTTCGTCCGCGCACATGCCTCGGGCCATGATTTGCGAATCCGCCCTTCTTGGACGCCCCCCTCTTGGACGCCCCCGAGAGTTTGGGTGCCTCCCCTCTCCCTCCCCCTCCGAGCTCCCTCACTCCCATGCTCTTCGCAGCCACTTCACATGGGTCGTTATAGAATGGGCCTCGCCTTCGAGGGTCGACGGAGTTAGCATCTCTTCCTCGACGGAAAGTGGCGGAAGGCTGGCGGAAGACGGCGGAAGTAAAACGAGGCCAGGCCGCCTCCGCCACGGAAGCCGGTGGAACTAAAAAATGGGCCTCCAAGAGGTGGCAACACTTTTGGGTACAGGGCTCCCGGAACCCGCCATGTGAGAACACGTGCCGCGCTCGCTGCCCTCTGCGGCCGCAGACGCCGGCGCTCCCGGCGCCCGCGCGGTGCTCACGGCGGTCGGAGCGGCCCGCCTCTCCCAGCTGCAGAGCGCAGGAGTCATCGTCACGTCGCACTCCGGCAATCGCTCGCTCTCCCTCCGCCTTGCCCCTTGGGTCCCCCCCCCTTTCCCACTTCCTCCTCCTGCCCATCCCTCCCCCCCCCTCCTCCTCAATCTCCTGCTCCCTCGGCCCCCCCCCTGGCCTTCCTTCCGCCTGCAAGCCCTCCCCCTCCTCCTCCTCCCCCTCCTCCTCCTCCTCCTCCTCCTCCTCCTCCTCCTCCTCCCTTTTCCCTTTTCCCTTTGCGTTCGCCCTCGCTCTCGCTCTCGGTCGTCCCCCCCTCCGTCTTCCCACCTCCCTCCTCCTCTCTGCTCTGGCGCTTGCGCTGACCCCGAGCACAGAGCCAGCCGGCCCAGGTGACGCTGCTGGACCAGTTCGAGCACACGGGGCCGAACGGCAAGCACGTGTGCATGGTGTTCGAGATCATGGGGCCGAACGTGCTCGCCCTCATCAAGCGCTACAACTTCAAGGCGGGACATCGCGGGGAGCGGTTTTGCGGCCCCCCCCCCCCCACGATGGGGAGGTGGATCTGTCGCAGCGCCCTTTGTTCCGACGCGCGGTCTTCCGTCCTGGGGAGGGCGCCGCGGGCACCAGGGCAAACGCCGCCTCGGGCGCAGGGCTCGCCGCGGGGTTTGCCGGGGTGCCGTCGGCGTCGTCCACTTGGGCGCGTCGAGAACAAACGATGCTCGGTCGAACTTCTCTTGCTCCCTGGATGGGCTTCGTGTGCTTGTTCTCCTCTGGGCCCTGGGGGAAACAAGACTTCAATGCGGGGCAGCATGGCTCTGCCAGGAAGCCGGGTGCACACGGTCTGGACCTCTGGCAGCTCGAACACGCCGCGCCAGGGCTTTGTTTGCTGTTGAGCTTCGGCGCGTGCGGGCTGCTTCCGGGCTCCCGGGGAACGGGTCGAGATGTCCAGGGTCCAGCGACTAGAGATCATCGGGTCGTCGGAGGTCTGGGTGCACACGTGGCCGCACGTCTCTCCATCGCTCGGCCCTCGTGTGGCCGTGCCCGCTGGCCCTCCGCATGCGCATCAAGCGCGTAGACTCCGCATGCTCCGCATGCGAACCCAGCCGCGTGTGTTCCCAGCGGCACGGGAAGCGGCGGTGTGAGAGTGCCACCTCGAGCTTCTCGCCCTCCTTTGCGGAGATGGTGGGGAGGAGCAAGGCGGCGGAGGAGGCGGGGACACCGCACAATCATTTTCCAGAGCTCCTGCTTCGCCTTCGCGGGCAGGAAGGGCAAGCGGTCCCAAGCAGGCCTGCCCGTCTGTTGGGATGGCCCGTGGCGCAGCGGGGTCCGAGCGAATCCGTTCCAGGACCCAGGGATCCTACACACCGATGCGACGCGGGTGCGTGATCTTTTTTTTCAGAGACGGTATTTTCCTTAGCTTCATCGCTGCCACAACCCTAGCTGATATGACGCTTCCATGAAGATATTGTCAAGGGGAGACGCAGTACTGTAGACATGCGCGCACATGTACACATACAGTCGTGCATATCAAAAGGATGCCAGACCTGCTCAGGGTGTTCCGCTCGACGTCGCCCGCAAGGTAGCGGCGCACACCCTCATCGGTCTCGACTACCTCCACAGAGTCTGCAACATCATCCACACCGACCCGAGCCTAGGCAGCCCCCGCCCGTCGATCCAGCAGGCTCGATCCGGCGTGCCCGGCCTGCCTGGGGCGACCGCCCGTCTCGCGCATCGAGCTGGGAGCCACGAAGCGGTCGGGATCTGATGGTCGCGCCCTCCTCCTCCCTCCTCCCTCTTCCCTCTTCCCTCTTCACTCTTCCCTCTCCCCTCTCCCCTCTTCCCTCTTCCCTCTTCCCTCCTCCCTCCTCCCTCTTCCCTCTTCCCTCTTCCCTCTTCCCTCTACCCTCCTCCCTTTTTTTTTGCTGGCCGCCACCATGCTTGCGTGCGCGGGCTCGGACAACAGGGCCCAGCGGGAGCGCCACCTGCCCGACCTCCGCATCAAGGGTCGCCTGACGAGCGAGTGCTGCGAGCGGGAGCGCTGCTAGTCTCCGCACGCTGCTGAGCAGGAAGGGCTCAGGGGAGACTAAGTCCACATGGAGTTAAGTCCATACGGACTGCTCGGTCTCGTTCTTGGCTTACTCCTTCTGGACTGAGCCTTTCATGATAGGAGGCTAAGTCCACACGGAGCAAGTCCATACGGAGTGCTCGGTCTCCGTATGGACTTACTCCGTCTGGACTTAGCCTCTCTTGAAGGGCGGCCAGTGTGCACGAGTCGCAGCGGCAGGTCCGCCAAGAGGCATATATATATGCAGTCGTCGGAGTGGCCGCGACGGCGGTGCGGCGCTCTCGAAACGGGGCTGGAGAGGGAGGCAGACGCTGTGGCGGCGATCCGTGCTCGAGCAGGCCCTCGCGCACAGTTGCCGCTTCTGGAGTGGGGCACGAGCGGCTGGGATTGCACTGCCCGCGGAGCCGTTTGCATCAGCAGGACCATCGTGTGTCTCGCCGTGCTCTTGCCGACAATGCTCGATCGCAATTGGCACTTCCATCTGCCGTCCGCGCCTGAGGATCCTCTGCGCCGCCGACTTAGAAGTCTCGGCGTGCCCTGCTCGCACGAGCTCCCTCTGCCCCGGAAAGGGCGAGGAGGCCCCAGACCCGTTGTCCCGGGGCCTCTGCCTCTGGGTCTTCGGCTCGGGCCCGCGCCCTCCATCGGGCGGCGCGGCGCGGTTACGCCCTCGCCAGCGCTTGCGATGCGCGCCCTTGGCGGCCTCCTCTCCCCTCCTCATCCGCCTCCTCCCTCGTGGGGACGCGGGTGGGAGGATGGGTCTCCCCTTTCGGACTCCGTAGCCCCGGTGCAACGTGCTTCTGAGGATGCCCCCGCCAGCCGGGTTCTTCGGATCGTTACTTCTTTCAGCGCCCACGGCTCGAATTTAGTCTGGTTCGAGCATGGGGCAGGCGCCTCCCCCTCGCCCCCCTCGTTCGCCTCGCTCTCATCGATGGCACGCTTGACTTTCTCAAGTGCGCTGTAGTAGTTATCGCCTACGAGTTTGTTCCTCATGCTGCATGCTAATGCCGCCAGAGGCGCCCGCACAGATCACACGCCTGACAGTCATTTCGAAATTGCTGAATGGCGGCCGAATTGCCGAGCAGTCATCCGAAACAGCCGAGCGAGTCAGCTTGTGCTGCCCTTGCGGCACGGCCGTTCGGCGATCGTGGTGGTCACCATGGGTTCTTCGTCTGACACGCTGGGCTTTCTGGCCTTCTCCTTTTCCTCCCCCCTCGATGAGCCTTCATGATCTTCAGGCGAAAGTCATTCCCCTCCCCCTACTTCCCTCTTTCCTCTTCCTCCCCCTCTCTTGATTCCTGCTACCTTCTTCTCATCGTCCGCGTCGTCGTCCTTCTTTGTCGGACCTCGTCGTCGTCGTCGTCCTCCTCCTCCTCCTCCTCCTCCTCAGCTCTTAGTTCTCGGTGCACTCAGGTGAGTTTTTGTGGCTGCTCTGGCTGGAGAAGCCGACGCCCCCCCCACCCCCCTGTACACTGTTACATGCTGGGTCCCGAGACCTGCGCCACGTGGCTGGCAAGCAACGATCTCGAGCAGGAGCGGCTGTTGACGGGTGGGCATGTTCTTCCTGTGTTGGCCAGTCCCTTGTTCGCACTCCGCGCTCGTGCGAGGAAGTCTGATGCTGTGCAGGGGAATTCTAACCCGCTTTCGGTGAGGTCGTAGACACAGATCCCCACGAACGCCGAGTCGATTCCTTCCCTCTGCTACGGTCGGTGGTGTCTCACATCACGCGGGCCACGCACATCAGCGATGAGCTTGCCACCAGGTTCGGAGTGGAGGAGTGGACCACGCTCTTCAGGAAGGGCGATGACTGACAAGATGCCCGCTTGCGCAGACAGCCGGTGGAGTGGGAAAACGCTCAATGAGGCGCCGTGGCATAGGGTGCTAGCCGCGAGAACGCGCAACCGTTGGACCCACGCTTGACGACGATATAATACGCTCCACAGCCTGGCGCAAGGCCAGAGGTGCAAGGGCGCTCTTGACCCTCTCATGCGCTGTCTCTCTCTCTCTCTTTCTCTCTCTGTCTCTCTGTCTCTCTCTGCACGGTCGCTCCTCCCACTCATCCTTCCCCTCCCCCTGCCGCCTCCTTCCCCTCCGGGGTGGTGATTCTGAGGATCTGAAGCCCGAGAATGTTCTGGTCGGTTGCCCATTCGGCGTGCCTGTGAACAAGCACGGCGTGCCGCTCATAGGATTTTTCTTCGGGGGGGCGAGGAGTAACAGCAGGTGAGGACGAGGAGGAGGAGGGAGGGAGGGGGAGGGAGGGAAGGGGTGGAAGAAGAGGAGGACGAAGATGATGATGATGATGATGATGATGATGAGGAGGAGGAGGAGGAGGAGGAGGAAAAGGAGGTGGAGGGAGGAAGGGAGGGATGGAGGGACGGAGGGATGGAAGAAGAGGGGTGGAGGAGGTGTAGGAGGAGTAGGAGGAAAGGGAGGAGAGTGAGGACCAATGTAGACCCAAGGCTCATAAACGATATTGCAATCAGCCCTCCCTCTAAGCTCCCTCTTGACAGTCCCCTACAAGGGTCCACTTCTACTGAGGGACGTGCCCCGTTGCAAGGCAACCGCTTGACAATCCTGAGCCGTGGCATAGCACCACTCCTGGGACTTCAACGCCACGAATCAACTTTTTTGTTAACTCTTGACGATCCTGAATCGTGCCAGGACGTCATTTCTGGGACTTCATCACCAGGTACCAGCGCAATGGTGCGCCCTGACAGTGTCACATCGTTTCAAAACACCGTTCCTGGGACGTTGCGTTACCTCTTAAGACGAATGTGCGCGGAGTTAAGGCGATATCCACATTTTGAACAGGTGCCGCCCTCCATCTGTGGAGCTCTTGCAACCTTTTGAGAGAATAATGTTCTCGGCGCTAGGGCGAGAGACACATGTTGGAAAGGAGCCGCCATCCATCCGTGAAGCTCTTGCCATTTGTCAGATGAGTGTTCGCGGCGCTAAGGCGAGAGCCACATGTTGGGAATACATCGCCTTCCATCCACGAAATCTTCAGCACTATGTGAAAACGGATGTGCGCGGCGCTAAGGCGTGAGCTTCATTTTGAAAGCGATCCGCCCTCCATCCGTGAAGCCCTTGTGCATTGAAAGCTTCAGGATCATTAGTCGTGAGGAAGTCAGGCGAAACGCTTGGCCCGCCCTACTGGCACGTCTCGGGGTGCGACAGGGACGTTTTTTTTTTTTTTTGGGGGGGGGGGGGGGGGGGGGGGGGTTGTTGTATAAGGCGAAGGAGAAGAGGAGGATGACGAGGAGGATGATGTTGAGGAGGATGAGGAGGAGGAGGAGGAGACGGAGGAGGAGGAGCATGGAGCATGGAGCACCCATTGTCCGGCAGACGAGAAGCGAACAAGGCGGAGCGTGTGACGCGCGGCCGCGGCGATGCGCCCGCGCCTCAGGCGGAGCGCACTGGAGGCATTTGTTTGTGCCTTGGTCTTGCTCTTGTTCATGCCCTCGCCCGCTCAAGGGGTGTGGTTCGTTGACTCGACCGCGTCTTTATCCACGCGAGGAGTTCGAGTTCACGCCCCGCGTCAGTTCAGCGAGGGCTTTGAACGGAGGCGGGTCGTAAACTCGACCTCGTCTTCACCCGCGCGGTAGGAAGGATGTCGATTTCGCGCGCCCCCCGCTGCAGTTCAGCGAGTGGCATGAATGGGCGGATGTTGTTGTCTTGACCTCGTGTTCGTCCGCGTGGTAGGAAGAGGCGCGATGGAGCGAGTCTTGAACATCCCCTCTTACCCGGAGTCCTGTTCTCCTCTTCATCTTCCTCGTTCCTCCTCTTCTTCCCTCTACTCTTGACTCTCTTCTTCAATGTACTTTGAAGGCTTCTCTGGTGCCTCGTGAGAACCTTGGGGGTGGCCTTTTTGGGCCTCTTGGCGCCCCTCGGGGACGTCTTGGGGCTTCGTTGGGCCTCCATGGGGCATTTGTGGGGCATCGTTGAAGGACTTGGAGGCAACCCTGGAGGGAAGGGCCTTCAAGCCCAGCTCGATTTTCCCTATTGAGGCCCTTTTGGCACCATATTGGGGCACTCTTTGGAGCCTTTTGGCCGTCTTGGGAGCTTATTGGGTCGTCTTGGGGCCTCCTTGGGACGTCCTGGGGGCCTCTTGGGCAGTCTCGGAACCGTCTTGGAGTCCTCTTGGAGCTCTCTTGGGCCCTGCATTGGTTGTCTTGGAGCCTTCTTCGCATTTTTTGAGCCGCCTGGGGCTGTCGGGAGCCAGAGAGAGGGCAAGTATGTGAAAGTAATTGAAAGACCAAAGGAGCTCCATGCTTTTAGACACTCAGAAGCTTCTTGGGCTTCCTCTTGAAGCTCTTGTCGGAGGTCTTGGGTACTTATTGGGTCGTGTTGAGGCCATCTCTTTTCCATCTAGAAGCCATCTTGGACCGTGTCGTCGCTTTCTTGGGCAGTCTTGGGACTGTCTTGGGGACTGTCTGGGCCGTCTCGGGGCGAGCTTTGCAGTCTTGTAGTGGCTTGTTGCTGTCTTGCAGCCGTCTGGAGGCCGAATAGGGCGCCGGAGAGGAAATGCAGGGGGGGTGATTTCAGACGGTTGCGTGGTGCGAGGGGAGGTTGGCCCTAGAAACCAGAAAAGTAGCCGTACCAGACAACGGACGCGCTTTCTAACACGCCCATTCCGTGCAGGCATTGTGGCGGATGTGCGTGCGTGGTCTGTTGTGTGTGTGTGTGGCAGCTGTCGAGATAAAGGACAGGTTGGGACAAATGCTCGAGACGACCCCTTTCGTCGCCTCCGTGCTGGCAGTGGCTGTCAGTGAATTTGCTCTGATTGCACTTCCCTGCCTGCGATGTGTGCATGGGCAGCTCATCCGTGAGTTCTCGATCCACGGCGGAGCCGCGGACCCAGTATGATCGCGCAGCCTAGGCCCTCCTGTTGTTGCCGGGGGCGCGCGCCCAGCCAGCTTCAAGAGCTCAGCGGCCGCTAACCCAGCGACAAACCACTGCGTCCTTCCCGTGTTTCTTCGCTCTCACCCCTAGAGCTCATCTAAAGTCGTATCGTGACGGTCGTCGGCCGAAAGGGGATAGCACTGCAGTCCTGAAGCGCAACTTTCACCGCTATCCGTGCCCGAGAACACGTAGGCGCTGGCTTCGGCCAGCCGTGGTTGGAAGCTCGGGGAGCCGAAGGATGACACCTGATTGGGAAGCATTGCTCCGGCACAGTTGAGCGTGCAGCGCCTACACACAGGGGACGGAGAGGGTTGAGCTGTCGTTATCGGACGTGCGCGCCCGTTTGAACCATGGCGCTTCAGATGATGATGATGATGGTGGTGATGATAAGGATAAAGATGCTGCTGCTGAAGATGATGAGGTTGGTGGTGGTGGGTGTGATGGTGATGGCAATGATGATGGCACTGATGATGATGACGATGATGATGATGCTGACGACGACGACGACGACCACGACAATCACGATGAGGAGGATGAGCATGATACTGATAATGTTGATGACGATGATGCTGCTGATGCTGCTAATGATGCTGGTGATGCTGATGATGCTGATGATTATGATGCTGATGATGATGCAGATGATGCTGATGCTGATGATGATGCTGATGCTGCTGCTGATGGTGATGATGACGATGCTGTTGATGATGATGATGCTGATGATGATAATGATGATGATAAGTATGATTAGGATGCGGATGATGAATATGCTGATGATGATGCTGCTGATGAGAATGATGCTGATGATGATGATTACTCTGCTGCTGCTGATGATGCTGCTGCTGATGATGATTATGATGATGATGCTGCTGCTGATGATGATGATGATGATGATGACGATGCTGATGATGATGATGATGATGATGATGATGATGCTGCTGCTGCTACTGATGATGATGATGATGATGATGATGATGATGATGATGATGATGATGATGATGATGATGATGCTGATGATGATGGTGATGATGATGATGATGATGATGATGATTGTGATGACGATGTGAGCACAACGGTTGTATCAGTAGAAGGAACTGATCTACAGCTTTCTCGGACCGTGCCCGCCCCACGCTGCGCGCGTGGCGTGCGAGCAGTTGATGCGTGGAGGGCCCGCGGCCAGACCGCGGGCGGTCTACGAGCCTGCCCCAGGATTCGAGGCCTACTCAATGGCCACTCCCACCGGGTAGGAGGCCGCACCAGAGGCGGCGGAGGACCCAGCGGGGGTCCCGTGGGCCGTCATCCCAGCAGCACCCATCGTGGGCTGCCCAGAGTGGCGGCAAGTGCCGAGCCTGTGGTTCGGGTCGCCCCTGCCGCTGGCAGCCACCTGCTACGCGATCTGGGCCGCCCCACGATCGAGCGAGGGTTTCGTCGGGGTGCTCAGAGGAGGGGCGATCGCGTGGCAGGCGATTGTCGCCAGACTCGGAGACAGCAAGTACACTTGCGGGCGGGATCGCCTGCGTCGGTTCCCGTCGTTGGGCGGTGCAATCGACAAGTTCTTCGACGAGCAGTGGGACTACTCATGCAATGTCAAGGTCTTCGCCCGGGCCAGGGTACAATGACGACGTTGCCGTCGCGTGCGCTGCAGCAGGCCGGGGATGTCGTGCTCCGCTCGTGGCTGCTCGAGCGCTTCTTGGGGCCGGGGCCCGCGCCGCCAGGCCGGCGGCGAGGGGCGTGGCCCAGGTCGTCGGCGCCAAGTTCGTGCAGCTCCATGGTCCCGTCGCCGTCCACGCCCTGATGCATGACGACCTTAGGGGCCCGTCTGCCTCCCCTGCGACGCCGGCTCGCTCGCCCCCATGGACCTATGTCTCGGCGGCGCTGCGGTCGGCTCTGGGCGAGGAGATGTCAGCAGACGTGGCCTGCATGGAGGTCTCGCTGGCGTTCCTGGCGCGAGTCGCCGAGAGCTGCGCGGAGTTCGGGGCGATCGAGAGTTTCGGCTCAGCTGGTGGCGCTGCGCAGCCAGAACTCCTCGAGCTGGTCGAACTCGCCTCGCGGCCGGACGACAGGAATATAGGGATTCTGCTCCGACCCGTCGTTCCCCGTCCCCGCCCCCGGGGCGACCCAGGGCGCATTGGTTCTCAGCGCTCCGTCGACGGGCAGATCGATGGGGAGAGGTACCGCGCCGCCGACGAGCGCGACGGCGAGGGCGTGGGGTGCGACGAGGTCGACGCAGCCCGCGAGGCTGCCGCGCCGGAGTGGGCAGGTCGGTCGCGTGGCGCCAAGGTGGCGG